TGAGGTGCCCACGAGGCATTTTTTTATTGTAATGCACAGTACCAATTTTTGCTATAAATTGGTCTTCTTTCTTCAAGCAAAATCATCCCATCCCACACAAAATACTACTTCTCTTAGAGAAGAAAGAGTGACACCAGTGAGAGGCAGAAAAACTAGAGAGTTTTAGTTTAGCTTCTGGGTGTAATTGGATTGTGAGTTGTGAGTGTTTTGGGAGTGTTTTGTAAACACTTGTGTATTTTTCTTTTCTCCCAGAAAGAGATCTGTAGTAGTCCGGAGACGTAGGCATTATTGGCCGAACTCCGTTATCAACTTGTGTGTGCAATTATTCCGCTTTTATTTCACTTTCACAGATCTGACCATATGGGAAGATTCAGCATATTTTTCCCAACAACTGGTATCAGAGCTGGTTGTTAGTTCTGTAATTCTTGTGGTGTTACTATTCATATGAATAGTAAGTTACTATTCAGTGAATAGTGAAAACGTGAATAGTGCAAATTTTGTCGGCGTTACAAATTTGCCCGCAGTCGTGTTACTGAAACACGGTAGCTCACAAGAATTGTCGAAACGATCCAGCAGATAAGTCGGATCAGAGTTGGAGTGATGGTCTGCAGACGAAGGAAAAATGAAAATCGAAAGGTTCGACGGTACGAGACTTTGGCTTCTGGAAGATGCGGATAGAGGATTATCTCGTATCGAAGAAGATGCATCAACCACTCACGGGGAGAAGCCGGAAACCATGAAAGAGGAAGAATGGAGACTCCTTGATAGACGAGGCTCTTGGAGTTATTCGTCTAACATTATCCCGTAATGTTGCTTTCAACATTGTGAAAGAAAAGACGACCTCGAGATCTCATGAAGGCTCTTTCCAACATGTACGAGAAACCATCGGCCTCAAACAAAGTTCACTTGATGAGGCGATTGTTCAACTCGCGGATGTCTCGAAGGTGCTTCGGTGGCAAATCATCTCAATGAACTCAACACTGTAACAACCCAGTTGAGTTCTATTGACATCAAATTCGATGATGAAGTACGAGGCTTTAATACTTTTGTCTTCCCTACCGGAGAGTTGGAATGCTACGGTCACAGTCTGTGAGTAGCTCATCGGGAAACAATAAGTTAAGATTTAATGATGTTCAAAATTTGGTTCTCGGCGAAGAGATCCGACGGAGAGAGTCGGGTGAAGCATCAACCTCTTCAGTATTGCATACAGAGTCAAGAGGAAGAAGTTCAACCAAAGAAATTGGACATGGAAAATCAAAGGACAGGCGGTCCAAGTCCAGAAATCATCGTAGTTCCCACAACTCAAAAACGATCGAGTGTTGGAATTGTGGGAAGACCGGACACTTCAGAAACCAGTGCAAGAGTGCACGGAAGAATCAAGGAGCAAAGGACGAAGCAAACGTTGCCTCCACCTCAGGAAAAGATGAGGCGTTGATATGCTCTCTTGAAGGCAGGGAGGAGTCTTGGGTGTTAGACTCGGAGCATCTTTTCATGCTACCTCACGAAGGAACTGTTGGAGAATTATGTTCCGGAAACCTTGGTAAGGTTTACCTTGGTAATGAACAGTCATGTGAGATTGTAGGCAAAGGTGCGGTAAGGATTAAGTCTGAATGGGTCACGTATGGGAATTGAAAAATGTCGGACATATTCCCGACCGACAAAGAGCTTAATCTCGGTAGGTCGATTAGCTAGTGAAGGCTATACGACAATCTTCCATGGTGATGAATGGAAGATCTCAAAAGGTGCGATGACGATTGCTCGAGGCAAAAAGAGTGGAACTCTCTACAAGGCTGCAGGAGCATGTCATTTGATTGCAGTTGCGAGCAAATAAAAATTCCAACATATGGCACCAAAGACTTGGACATATGAGTGAGAAAGGAATGAAGGTCATGCACTCGAGAGGAAAATTACCAGGTCTTCGGTCGAGTAGATATTGACATGTGTGAAGACTGCATACTTGGAAAGCGAAGAGAGTCAGCTTTCGGACAAGTAAAAGAACCCCAAAGAAAGAGAAGCTTGAGCTCATCCACTCGATGTTTGGGGTCCAACGACTGTCCCATCCGTTGGTGGGAAGCATTACTTCGTGACTTTCATTGATGATCACTCCGAGAAAGGTATGGGTTTACTTTCTGAAATATAAGTCGAAGTATTTGAAGCTTTCAAGATTTGGAAAGCTATGGTGGAAAATGAGACAGGATTGAAGATTAAGAAGCTCGAATCCGACAATGGTGGTGAATATGTAGACACCAAATTCAAGAAGTTTTGCTATGAGCACGGAATCAGAATGGAGAGAACCGTGCCGGGTACGCCTCAACACAATGGTGTAGCCGAGCGTATGAATCGAACGTTGACTCGAAAGGGCCGAAGCATGCGTGTGCAGTCAGGCTTACCAAAGCGGTTTTGGGCGAAGCGATCAACACAGCAGCTTACTTGATCAACCGAAGTCCATCGGTACCATTGGAACACAAGATACCGGAAGAGGTATGGAGCGGAAAAGAGGTAAAACTCTCACATCTTAGAGTTTTTGGCTGTGTAGCATATGCGCATATCAGTGATCAAGGCAGAAACAAACTTGATCCAAAATCAAAGAAATGTACTTTCCTTGGTTATGGTGAAGATGAGTTTGGCTACCGCATATGGGACGATGAAAACAAAAAGATGATCCGCAGCAGAGACGTAATCTTCAATGAAAGAGTGATGTACAAGGACAAGCATAATACAGGTGCCAAGCAACTCGAAGCGAGTGGGCCGGTTTATGCAGAGGTGGAAGATATCCCGGAAAGTCCTATAATGAGGAGTCCTCGACCAGAGGAATCGAGTTGAAGAACTTGATGTGCAAGCGAACCTCCTACTCCAACTCCTGTATTGAGAAGGTCTTCTCGGCCTCATGTGCCTAACAGGAGATACATGGACTATATGTTGTTGACTGATGGAGGGGAGCCTGAAGATTATACGGAAGCTTGTCAAGCCACGGATGCTAGCAAGTGGGAGCTTGCCATGAAAGACGAGATGAAGTCTTTAATCTCAAATCAGACATGGGAACTAGTCAAGTTACCTATGGGAAAGAAAGCACTTCACAACAAATGGGTGTATCGAGTGAAGGAAGACCATGATGGTTCTAAGAGATACAAAGCTCGATCGGTCGTCAAAGGATTTCAGCAGAAAGAAGGAGTCGACTACACCGAAATCTTTGCTCCAGCTTGTAAAGCTCAATACTATCGGGATCGTGTTAAGTATTGTGGCTAGTGAGGAGCTCTACCTAGAGCAATTAGATGTGAAGACCGCATTTCTTCATGGAGATTTAGATGAGGAGATCTACATGCACCAGCCTAAGGTTTTTCGAAGGAAAGAAGAACTTGGTGTGCAGATTGAAAAAGAGCTTGTATGGCCTCGAAACAAGCTCCAAGACGAGTGGTATAAGAAGTTCGAAAGCTTCATGCACAAGGAGAGTTTCCGAAGTGCAACGCCGATCACCGTTGTTTCTTCAAAAGGTATAAGTCCAGTTATATCATTTTGCTACTTTATGTTGATGATATGCTAGTAGCAGGTTCAGATATGAATGAGATCATAAACTTAAAGAAGCAGTTGTCAAAAGAATTTGACATGAAGGACTTAGGCCCAGCAAAGAAGATTCTTGGAATGCAAATCACGAGAGATAAGCAAAAAGGAGTTTTGCAGTTATCTCAAGCGGAGTACATCAACCGTGTTTTGCAGAGATTCAACATGGACAATGCCAAACCAGTCAATACACCTTTGGCTTGCCATTTTCGTCTATCCAAGGATCAGTCTCCTCAAACGAAGGAAGAAGAAGAGTTAATGGCTAAGATTCCGTATGCTTCAGCCATTGGAAGTTTGATGTACGCGATGGTCTGTACGAGACCAGACATTGGCCATGCAAGTGGGAGTTGTAAGCGGATTCATGTCAAATCCAGGAAAAGCTCATTGGGAAGCAGTCAAATGGATTCTGAGGTATCTACGAGGCACAACAGAAAAATGTCCGTATTTTAGAAAAGGAGATCTAAAATTACGAGGCTACGTAGATGCGGACTTTGGAGGTGAAGTTGATCACCGAAGAAGCACCACTGGGTATGTGTTTACTCGTTGGAACTACAGCTGTTAGTTGGATGTCGCGGATACGTAAGATTGTTGCTTTATCCACTACGGAGGTCGAGTATGTAGCAAGTGACGAAGCCGAGAAAGAATTGATATGGCTTCAAGGATTGTTGGCAGAGTTGGGATTCATTCAAGAAAGGAGTGTTTTGCACGGTGATAGTCGAGTGCAATACATCTGGCAAAAAATTCAAGCATTTCACTCCAGTAACCAAACACATCGACATACGTTATCATTTCATCGATCTCTACTTGAGGATGAGATGCTAACATTGAAGAAAATTGTGGGAAGTAAGAACCCAGCAGATATGCTAACAAAGGTGGTGACTATTGACAAACTGAAGTTATGCTCAACTTCAGTTAGCTTACAAGGATAACAGACAAGAGAAGACTACTATTGATCAATGTGTGAGGACAGATTGAAATCGGTCCTCAAGTGGGAGATTGTTGGTCAAAGAAAGTAGGTAACTTTCTCACTTGCACCGAAAGAATGGAAGAAAAGGGTGGGTGCAAATTTTTTTATTCAAGCATGAGGTGCCCACGAGGCATTTTTTTATTGTAATGCACAGTACCAATTTTTGCTATAAATTGGTCTTCTTCCTTCAAGCAAAATCATCCCATCCCACACAAAATACTACTTCTCTTAGAGAAGAAAGAGTGACACCAGTGAGAGGCAGAAAAACTAGAGAGTTTTAGTTTAGCTTCTGGGTGTAATTGGATTGTGAGTTGTGAGTGTTTTGGGAGTGTTTTGTAAACACTTGTGTATTTTTCTTTTCTCCCAGAAAGAGATCTGTAGTAGTCCGGAGACGTAGGCATTATTGGCCGAACTCCGTTATCAACTTGTGTGTGCAATTATTCCGCTTTTATTTCACTTTCACAGATCTGACCATATGGGAAGATTCAGCATATTTTTCCCAACACTAAGGAGCCTCTCTTTGCGGCGAATTCAGCAGTCCACGGTGGTCCCGTTGCCGGCAACAACCCAGTTCAGCCGCGACCTCACGGCGGAGCTCACCACCCTTCAGTCAGAAGTTACCAGTGGTGAACATTTCATGCCTCGGTTATTTGAAGCTGCTATCACTACCCAAAAAATTGCCTTAAATACACTTGCTCATGTTTCGTATTTAGCTGATGTGGACCATGGAGCAATGGAAGAGTACCTGGAAACCAACACTGATATTCTTGATGCATGCAACTACTTTGTGGAAAGAATGGAGGGCGTGAAGAAGAAGTACGTGGACAGATTGAGAAAAGTTGCACGCTTTGTTGAAAGTAACGCAACATCACGTGCTCTGGATCAATTGGTCCAATTAGAGTCATGCCAGGCCACAGAGAAAACGAGACTCAAAATGGGGAAGCGCGGCTCTTGTTTGAGAAGAACAAAGCTGGGCCATGAAACTGAGTTCAGTGAGATTGTGTGTGGGTCCAAGGGAATGGCTTTGATGAGTTGTGGTTTTCTTGAACATGCCTTGTCAAGTGATTGTGGGAAAAGTGAACTTCCCATGATGAAATGCCTCCCCATGAGTTGTTCATGGTTGAGGATTATGCAAGAGTTGGCAGAGGGAAGTGCTGGGAAGAAGAAAAGGGGATGTGGGTCTCTGGTGATGATGGTTGAGTTGCAGCAGACAGTGGCTGCAGCTAGGGAATTGAAAGAACTGATAAAGGGTAAGAGGGGAAAAGAGATGGTTGAATCTTGTGTTGAGAGAGTGAAGAGAAGCTGCAAGGAATTGGAAGATGAGATTGATTTCATTCAAAGGAAAGTGAAAGATTTGTACAAAAGTTTGATTGATGTTAGAATGGCTTTGCTGGGAATACTTTCCCAGGCTTAGATCAATTGTTAGATCAGATCAAAATAGGAAGTTTGATAAGAAAATTAGCTTAGGAATGATGCCATTTTCTGGCATTCACGGATGTATAGAATTGATATGAGATATATTCAAAAATAAATTTGACCCATTTTTCATTTTTATTGCTATTATTAGTTTTTAGTTTGTAATAATCCATTCTCAATTAAAGGTTTGGTATTCAATTTTATCACACTCCCAAGATTTTTTCATCAATGTATCATTAACACCAACCTAAATAAAGTTTGATTTATAAAGAATGTTGTATTGTAAAATACAGAAAGATCAGAATATTTTGGGTATGTTTGGTTATCTTTAATTAATTTGTTGATGCAAAACACGTTTTAATACACACCCATCTCGTAACACATGTTACCAACCCAATAAATGGAATCAAAGCTTGAAACTTTAAGCACTTTTCAGACATTGTAACCTTTTTTACACCACAGCCTCTATAATATGTTAAAATTAATAAAATGTATTACATTAAATATACCATGTATGTTCAATGGTTTTACACACATGTTTCTTCTTTCTTTCCATATGTTGTTCACGTTATATGATTCAGATGACCATCAAAGTTTTTTTTTCTTACTTTGATATTTAAAGAATAGACTTTTGAGGAATTGGAGATGGCTTAATTAAAAAAAAATGAATTGTGGCTTCAAGCTTGAAAGTATACTCTGTTTTCAAGGGAAAAAGTAAGAAATGTTAATTATTAACGAAAAATAATCTGTTAATAACATAATATAATATACGTCAATATATTATTAATTAATTAAGGGTTTTTGTTTTTTTAAATTTTAAAATTTTAAACAGCTAAAAAAAACTAATAGTTTTTTTTGTATTTTTAACTATCAATATTTCACTAATAGTCATTCCTTTTCATTATTAAAGTTATTAAAACAATCTTTTAACTTTTATCAAACTTTCTTATCCATCTCTTTTATTTGAAATAGTTTTTAAAAATAATATTATTAAACAACTATTTTTCTAACTTATTTTTGAAACCGATTTTTTTAAAATTTTTATCTTTAAACCTTACCATTCGAATTGAAATTATATAAGATGGAATGGAATTATATATGAAATGGAGCATATAATAGCATAAAAAGTTTGTACTGGATTTTTATTATGATGGAATGAAAAAAATTATTAATTCATCTCAAATTAAAAAAAAAAAGTTAAATAATAGAATAAGATTGTATTGGTTTTACTATTTTTCATTATATTTAACCTTATTTTGACAATAATAATATATTTTTGACATAAATAATTCATTAACATTTTTTTCTTTTGTTTTTATTATTATAATGATAAAAATTAATTACAAATAATATTATAATAATAAATAAATATATTTATATTCCACTCATTTCCACTTTCTTTCATCTAATTTAAACAATTTCATTTTTCTTCTTCATTTTCTTTGGTTCTCCCCCTTCTCGATTTCTATTATGCCATCTTTAATAAGGTTAAATATAAAAAATGTATATTATGTAGATTGATAACTAGAGTGTTTAAAATTTCATTTCACTGACAAAAATCCCAATTTCAATAATAAGGTAAACCTCCTCTCATCTTTAATACAAGTTACTTCTATCATAATCACATGTATCAATTAAAATAATTAATTAATTAGTTTTATTAAAACTTTAAAACAATATTATTTATCAGTATCAAATTTACTTTTTATTTTTAATGACTTTTAGAATTCTCTTCTCAATAAAAATAACTTATATTTATAATATTTAATAAGGAGAAATAAAGAAAAAGAAAAATTCAACACTTATTAAAATCACCCTAAAAATATTGCCTCAGGACTTATTTATAGATATTTATCAACTAAAGTTGTTCTTTGCAGTAAATTAGAAGTATAGGATTTTGTTTTTTGAAGGTAGGTAGGTAATGTAATTTCCAAAATTAAAGAGAATAATACAATTTAAACATATCTCTTAGGAAAGAGTGTATAAGTTATTAAGGGTTTATCTTAGAATTTGTTAAGATTTCTTTCCAGACATTTTGTTCATCTAATTACTGCACTTGAGCTTCATGAAAACAATGGATGATCGTATGTGAATCCTGGGTATCTGGTTTGATATCTCTTTTCCTGTTATAAGCACAGACTCTTGGATAGGAGAGATTCAGAATCAGCATATGCATAATGATAACTTAGAATCTAGAAAACTTGAACCTATTATTAAACAATAAACATCCAAGTAGCATGTAAACTACATGAATTTCTCACAACTAATCCAATCTCAGTACAAATATTGCTGTGGATATGCAAGGACCATCTCACCACTCCATTGTATAACGCTTCACCAGAACTAGAACCAGAACCATTTTTGGATGTACAAATTATTGAAAGATTAAATTCAGGTCACTTTTTAAGTTGTGAGACTATCTACTTTCTGCTTACAATAAAATGAATATCAGTATATCCTTGAATGTGGGTGATTAATCAAGACAAAAATATTGTAGCAAAATGGAAAACCTTACTAACACAGTTATTCACAAAGGTAAACAAATTTGCAGAGTAATCAATCTACCACAAAAATATGGCAATGGAACTATGAAAGGGAAGAAAACATCAAGACAGAATCAATACAAACAAAGTGAATTGTCTTTATCTAGCTGCTTCTATTCTTATCTTTGTTAAAAAGGAACAGAAACAAACCAAAAAGATATTAAAAGAAATTATTAGAAGGATCTTATGTTATGGTGAATAATATTCTGAGAATTTGCTATATAATTGCATAAGAGAAAAAGGTAACCGTGAATTCGATAGTAGCCAAGAATGTGAACTTAACAATAACTTTCTCATGCCCACGATATCACTCAATATATTACTCAATATTAAGCCGCAAACATGATTTGATTTTCGTCATCTCCTAAAAATCAACTGATACCTTAACCCTCAATTTTTCCATCCATGTATCAATTGTAATTTGCAACACCCTCCCCAAAAAAGGTCTTAAAACTAACTTATCAAAAAATATAATCCTGAATCTTCATTTTCCACGCATCACATCACACTACATTTCTTTTCTCCCTTCTACAACTACATCATCGATCCTTGCACCATTTTCCCTTTCAACATTCATTTCATAAAACTCTTTCAGTTTGTAACCCATTGGCACACCCCTTTGCTTCATTTCCACCAAAATTGACATTGCTTCTTTACCCTTCTTCAAATTCACAAACTTGCTAGCCAAACACCCAAGAAGCTCGGCATCCAAAAACTTATCCTTCCCAACAAAACTCCTCACATAACTCATAGCATGTTCATAACACTTCATCTTCAAAAGGGTCCCAATAACATGCATGTGTGTCGAATACAACATGTGCACTCCATCATCCACCATCCTTCTCAGCAGTACCATAGCACCCTCCACCTTCCCCGCCCTACACGCGCCCAGAACAAGCGCGTCGAACGTACGCGCGTCTGCAGCCACACCCTCCTTCTCCATTCTCCTCAGAACTCCGCCCGCCGCGTCAAAGTCTCCGGTGAAGCAGTAAGCCGTGAGAAAAAAGTTGTGGCCCATCAAGTCAAGCCCAATTCCGAGCTCGGCCATTAAATCCACCACGCGTCGCGCGTCTTCGAGGGACTTTTCCCTTGTGAGGAGGCTGAGGACGGGGTAGAAAGTGCACGCGGTGGGGGCGCAAACTCCACCACGCGCCAAGGACTCGATCACACGCAGTGCTTCCTTTGGCCGTCGCAGCTTGCAGAGGCGCGTGACAAGCAATTCCAGTGCGTTGCGGCGCGTGACTCCTTCATTCAGATGGGAGAGGGTTTCAACAAGCCGATCGATGAGGGAGGGAGAGAAATTGGAGTGAGTGATGAAGCTGAAGGTTTGTTTGGTGTTGAAGAAGCCGTCCTGGATGCGCTTGTTGAGAACGTCTCGTAGCGCACTGTAGTCGCCGGAGCTTGCGGCGGCGGTGGCAAGGTCGTCGTAGTAGGCGGCGGTGGGATCGTCGGGGAAGGGTTTGACACTTAGGGTTGTCTCGAAACGACGACGTAGGGTGGAAAGGGATTTCAGGGTTTGGTTGGGGGGTTTACGGAGAAACGACATCGTTCGTTGTATTTTGGGATTGAAAATGAAAGTGAAGGTTGAGTGAGATGCGCAAACAAAAATACTACTACCTCTGTCAGAATTCATAAGTTTTTTTTTTTTTCCTGAAAATTATTTATTTATTTTATAATTGATTTGTGTTTATTTTTTAAGTATTTTAAATATGTAAATATTTGAAAACAATAATATAAATTAATAATAAATATATTATTATCAATTAATTTAACTCATGTTTTTAAAACGTTTTAATTAGTTGAAAATGTTTTCTAATATTATAAATATTGATAAAAAATAACAAAATATAAGAAACCAGTATATTTTATCTCTTTGAATAATCATATAGTATATATTGTATGTGATATTCCTAAACAGTTATTTACATACATATTATATTTATAAATATTCTTTAAAACTTTTAGTTTATAAATTTTAATTAAATGGTTAGTTTATATCTTTGAAATTTATATTTTATTATTCGTATTTCTTCCTAATTTTTTTTGAAAAATAGAGTTGAACCTATTTGATTTGACATTGTAAGAAAAATTAAATATTGATCAGACTTAATAATTAAGAGTTTATTTGATAGTTACAAATAGGATAGCATATACAATTAAAATAAAAAAATGAAAGAAAAAAAGGTCAAAAATAATTTGTAAGAAATATGGTTTTATTAAAAAATAATAAAAAAGAAATATTACCCATTTATATATTGAAAAAATGTAATTCAGTTTCAGTGCAGTAGTAAACGGTGACTACTAACAAGTAAAACGACGCGTTTGAAATTGAGAAGGTCGTGAAATTCTGCACTCTTTTCTGCATGTTCATTTCAGAAATTTTCAAATACACAGTTAACTTAGGGTTTCGGAATTTTATTTTTCGTTTCACCTCATTTCTCACATTGACAGTGATTTCTCCGCAGTCTCCTTTCTGTCGCTCAATAAATTGAAAGACTACAACAGCATTGTACGATACGGTACGACGACTTTCTTCCGTTTTCCTTTCTCATAATCCAATGTGAAAGAAAAAAAAAAGTTATTATTTTTTTGTCAATTTTGCTTCTTGGGACTCATTGTTTGGGTTTGGGAATTTCCCATGGTCGGAGTTTTAAATTTCTACGTGCCTTGTTCTTTGGTTGCAATGCTGTGTTAATTTAATTGTTAGGTTATGCTGTTATTTTGCAATTAGCGTTGAGAATTTGAGGCCTGAGTATCATGTACATTGATTGATGTTGTTTGCAGGGGCAATGACTTATGTGGATGATGATGGTTCTTCTGGCTCTGGAGATGATGGGAACATATTGGATGAACAGAAGCGTCAGGCTGGCACGCCATCGAATTCTTGCGGTGGCCGGAAGAGAGGCCGGAGAGCTACTGGGTCTGCTATAGTGGATGCTATGCTGGAGTTAGTGGCTGCGTCGAAGATGAGGGCAAGTGCAATCGTGAAGAATGAGGAAAGATTCTCTATAAACAATTGCATACAAGTGTTGGATGAGATTCAAGGTGTTGCTCAGCGGATTTACTTTCTTGCTTTGGATTTGTTTGAGGGCCGTCCTAGTGCCCGGGAAGTTTTCATCTCTCTTAAGGAGGATAAACGATTGCCATGGTTGCAGGGCAAATGTAGTGCTTCCTTTAGTTGAATTGTTTGATAAAATTTCCCATCTTTTTTGTTAAAAATTGCCCTATAGTTTTGTACAGTTAAATAGACTGCAAGGGGTGATGTTAGTTAGTGCTTTTACTTGTTTGATTTTGTGCTTAATGCCTATATTACAGGTTTGAGTTTGGAATTTTGAATGCAAAAAGCGCTGTTTTCAAACTGTTTTTTCTTTTTACATCTTTTATGAATGGTTGTAATGCTTTCCAAACCTATGAAATAGATGTATCAGAGAGAGATTATCTTGCATCATTCGTACTCTTGAAGTTTATCTTTACAGATCCATCAATCAGCATGGACGACATTGATCTAGAATTGGATGAGATGGAACTAGTTGCTGCGGCGGCTGGATATTATTACTATAGCTGTCTGACCAAACAACCTTCTCGTGGTTTATCACCTAGGAGATGTGAATTCATGACAGAAGTGCTCAATGGGCATGATGACTTTTGTCGGGAAATGTTGCGTATGGACAAGCATGTATTCCATAAGTTGTGTGACATTCTCCGTCAAAGAGCCATGTTGCGTGATACTTCTGGTGTCATGATCGAGGAGCAGTTAGCAATATTTTTAAACATAGTTGGTCATAATGAACGTAATAGGGTGATTCAAGAGCGCTTTCAACACTCTGGTGAAACCATTAGCAGGCATTTTAATAATGTCTTGAAGGCTATAAAGTTGTTGGCACGAGAAGTTTTGCAACCACCTCAGCTCACAACACCTCCAGAAATTCACCACAACGCCAGATTTTATCCATATTTCAAGGTTACTGTGATCTTTGAGTTCCTTCTCCCACAATACGCTCTGTAATTCAACTCGCTAGTGTTTACTGCTTGTGCTAGTTTATCTAACCTCCACCTCTAATATTTCAGGATTGTATAGGAGTAATTGATGGTATGAACATCCCTGCACATGTTCCAGCCAAAGATCAATCTCGATTTCGCAATAAGAAAGGTATCCTGTCTCAAAATGTGTTGGCAGCTTGCACATTTGACCTGCAGTTTATATTCATTTATCCTGGTTGGGAAGGTTCTGTCACTGATTCACGAGTGTTAAGGGCAGTCCTTGATGATCCAGATCAGAATTTCCCACAAATTCCCCAAGGTTTGGTTGTTATTATATCTCTAGTTTTGGGTTCATTATCTTTCCATATTAAACATTGAATTAACAGTAACTTGATGTATTTTTTTCTTTGGATTTATTTCATAGGAAAGTATTACCTTGTTGACAAGGGATATTTAAATACGGAAGGGTTTATTGCTCCTTTCCAAGGGGTTCGGTACCAGCATTATGAGTTCAGAGGTGCTAATCAATTACCAAGAAATGCTAGAGAGCTTTTCAACCACAGGCATTGTTTTATGAGGAGTGCTATTCTGAGGTCATTTAATGTGTTGAAAACTAGATTCCCAATCCTTAAACTTGCTCCTCAATATTCCTTTCAGATTCAGCGGGACATAGTCATAGCTGGATGTGTTCTGCACAATTTCATCCGCCACGAAGAAAGAAATGATTGGATTTTCAATAGCGTTGGTGGGTCACCGGTGGAGGAAATGTCAGATCTTGATGAACTTCCTGATGTGCCAATGCTTTCTTCGATACAAGAACAACTTGCATTCTCATTGCGTGATTCAATTGCTGCATCTATGTGGGATGACTTCTTGACTAAATGGAATGAGTGGTGAATCTTGCTGACTATGGAAGAGGTGTTGTTATAGCTTGGAATGGTTTTATTGCAAAGGGGCCATGTGATTTTGATCTTTCCATCTGCATGAACCGAGGACCACCATAATGTGATTAGATTTGATGTTATGGTCAATGCTCAATATTTTGGTGAGTAACGTGAAATTTTGTATAGGCTGTGTATATCTTTGTCAAATAATAGTTTTATTGAAATGGAATTGTTGTGAAGGTTGCTTGGCTTAGATTCAAATATTTCTGTGTAGGTATATGATATAACAGCATAATTGCATTTAGTTTGCTATAGCAGATGCACCTACTTGTGGAAAATTTTATTTTGGTGATATATAAACATTCAATATTATCTTTTCCCCATTTTACATTAAATTTAATTTCCATGATGGTTTTACACTATCAAGAATTAACTAATCAACAAACTAACATAAGCTAGTTTTATGAACTATACATACATAATAGTTTCTAAAGCTATTTATGGACGGGATGAAAGTGGAAAGAAAGAAGATAGAGTGAAAAGAAGCCATACTAATATTTTTTTTTGCTTGGATGAAGAGAAAATGAAAAAAATATTAAAAATTTAAGCTTTTATTTTGTTTTCATTTTTTTTCTTATTTACGATCAGCCAAAGTAAATCTTTTGGACTTTGATATCAATAATACACCATTTGTAAGGTTTATTCATTCCGCTATATAATGTCGGATTTTCTTTGGATTTATATTTTTGTGTCCTTTGAGTGTGAGAATTATTTCCTAGGCCCATTTCTCTACAATCACTTATTATGCTTTAAATCATTTTCTCTCTTTACTATTTAATGTTACAATAATATTTATATGTTAGGTTTAATTTTGTTCTAAAAGAGTTGGACAATCTTATACTATGATATTTTTCCTTTCCATTTCCTGTCATACTTAAAAAATAAATAAAAACAAGAAAATAAATTAAAAATAATAAAAAATTAAAGTTGTTTGATTTAGTTTTGTTTAAAGTAATAAATTTTTAAGAATTATTTGAGAATAAATTTTTAAAAAATTATAATTTAAAAAGTGTTTTAAATACATTAACGATGAAAGAAATTAAAAAAATGATTTCAATAGTTTTATAAAAATAAAAACAATCTATACAATAAATATAATACAATCGTAGCTGAAAACAAATACTATTAATAAAAATTTAAAATACTTTATTAGTTTTTATTTTTAAAAACAAAAGAAACATCTTTAAAACTGTGTTAATTAAACAGTTTATGAAAAAGATTTTGGATTTTTAAAAATATCCTATTATTTTATTTGATTTTTTCTACATTCAAACTTTGTTTTATTGAAAATTTACTTTAGAATAATGATATATTGTATATTATTTCGAATTTTATAGTATTATAATAATACGTGTGATTGTGTTAAAAGTAAAGACGACAGCACCAGGTATCGTATTAATGATAAATTTTATTTTTTATAAACATATTATATATTATATTGTAATAGCATACAAATGAAATATTACATTACTTTATATAATAACCTATATCATTCAATTGTATATGTATATAAAATAAATTATGTTTAAATATATTTTAGGTCCTATATTTTTCAATTGTGTTTGATTCTTTATTAAAAAAAGTCGTTATTTTTGGTAAAAAAAAATAATCCCTACCATTTTAGTCTTTATTAAAAAAAAACTTTATCAATAACTTGAATTACAATTTTAACGCAAACGTCAGCACCACTTATATAATGAAAGAAAACAATAGGGAACTATTTCTTCTTCTTTTTTATCTAAGATTAAAAATAATTACTTTTATGAAAAACAAATAAAATTAAAATATATATCGAAGACTTAAAACATATATAAGCCAAAAAATATGAACAGAATTAATTTTCTAAAAGGCGAAAGATTAATCTAAAGTGGTAAAAGATGAGTTTTAGATCCTTGAAAGCAATTTTGTAGTACTTAACTGAAGTTATAGACATAGGTCATAGATTTTATTTTAAAGGTCTACCTTTCACCTCCTACATCTTTCAACTCTTTTTTAAAACGTATTTTGTGCCTTAAGCCATCTCTTTCCCACATTTTATTTGTATTTATGTTCCAATTGAATTTATTACACTGTTATTCCATACATTGAAACTGACCAGTCTCTATTTGACCAATGGCTATACTACCAATTAACAGAACTATCAAAATGGCCAGGCTATAAGATAAAACACACTCAAGGAGTTAGTAAAAACCAGACATTACCAGATATGTTAGTTGATAGTAATCAAAGTCGAGTTATATTACATAAACCTACACTTTAAACACTAAATTTTAACCTCTAAATGCTTCTTAAATCTAAACATATAGATTACGGATACAACTTGATGCCAAAATTCTTTGAATGATATTTCAGCCTTAAATTTCACAAACATTCACAACAATGGGAAACAAAGGCTCCTAGAGTAAATCTCAATTAAGAAATATTAAACATTAAGCATTTATTAAAAACTAAAAAAATATTCTAGTTACATGAAAAAAGTTACTATAATTTACTGTTTAATCTTAAAAGTACACATGCATTACATCATCATCCCAGCAGCTAATCCTTTGAAACAATCAGGATTATGAACTCTAATTGGTTTACAAGAAATGCACCCGAGCAAGGGTATATTCCTTTCCTGCAATCCAAACACCGGTCTGCGACCACTGTACATCTTCCCAGTCCAGGCTTTCCTCTAGCACCTGCACCAGAAAAATGCAGAATTGGAATTTTTATATTACAGTTGAAAAATATTACATTTGTATTCTGCAATTAATTAGAATAACGTTATATGTAACAAATTGATCGATTTTGCACTTGTTGAAGTAAACCAACTATGGTTTACATATAAGGCCTTGGGATGTTATGCAGACTAGTGAGTGAAGTAGTTGATATAACGGTCAAAAGCTTTCAGCCAATGCCCAATGGCAAAAGGTATTGGTTCTGTTGGTTTTTGTTTGATTGCCTTCATGACCTACCATATGATTTTCATAGGTCTCTACATCTAAGCAAACGGAAAAGTAAACTAACAGGCAAATGAAAAATTCAATAGTAATACGGTAGTTACTCATAATTGAGGACCAAAAAAAAATAGTCGACATTATTCACATGCCCAGGGAAGAGAGATGAACGATTGACTCAAACATACCTCCACATGTTCAAGAGGCAGAGGGATGCCAATCAACCGCATCACTTTCTGGGGCAGAGGATTCTTACATCGAGACCATCGAAATACATCAACCATGACATGATCAGAATCAGCTTTTTCACCATTTGTTGGATGGTGATTTTGAGACTTCTCAGTATCTGGGTCATGCATCTGACTTGCTGGTATAGCCTTCACCATCTTTTCTCCAGTAAAACAGAGCTCGTATCTGAAAAGATTAAGACTCATTTAATTACAATTTCCTGACTTTAAGAGCCCTTACAGTTAAAGACAAACAAGGAAACAGACTTTCATGACCATAGTCGATCCTTAGAGTTTGACAAATTAAACAGAATCTTTTATTGAAAAAAATAGTATAAAATAACACTGAGAACAATGAAACATTGCTTAAATGGATAGTAAGCAATTAATGAAAAAAGAGGGTGACACAGACGCAGTCCAATATGCTTTACATTTATAACATTGCAATAACTCGTGCCACTTAACAGCTAATGCAGTTTCTAAAGGAACATCAAAAGTGAAGCCTATAAAACTTAAAGATCACACATTTTGGTCAAGAACTTCAATGTAAGAAAATACCTGCAGGAGTGTGTCTCCAGATACAGAACTTCTCCCTTCTTTAAACGAGCAGAGGTATAGAGTGGCTTTTTTAGACCCTTGTCAGCAACAATGCTTATACTATATTTGATCCTGATAGATATTATAATTCATAAATGCACAAGACAAAATAAGATGCAAAACATAACTGCATTCATATCTGAACGAGGAAGAATACGAAATATTTGGACCATTTTATTTCGAAAAAAATTTATCATTTCCCTTTTTCTCAAATAATTACAAAAATCCTACCTTGTTTCCTATTTTTAAATCTTTGTACATGAAACAACCAAAACAAAATACAGTAGCATTTTAGTAAATATTTGTGAAAACAAAAATGCCAAACAGGAAAAGCTTTTTCAAACCAAGATGCAATGCAATGTTTGAAGCTGAGAAATTTTCATATATTAGAAAATACCACAAACAAGGATTCGATAGTTTTTACTCCATCATATAACCCAAAGCTATTATATTAGACTGTACTTTGCCAATTAGTACTAGCATACCAAGGTTCATTGCAGAGGTTGTACTGTATTGTAACTTCACGTACAAATCTTTGTTGCCGCAATGCATTCTGAAGAACAAAGGCCAAGCAAAATAAGATGAACATCGAATATGAAAAAAATATTAATTAAATGGTCAATATGAAAAGGTTTGTCAATTATAATATAGACACTGGACAAACCGAAGCTGCAGCCCTGGTAGTCATTGTCCGTTCAACAGCTACTGGTGCAAGGGTAGGCTCAATGGTTGAGGTATGCGTAAGGCAGGGTTCGAGATCAATAGTTCCACCTCCTTTCTGAAGAGAAAGGAATAAACTGTCAGAATTTAAATATTCATGCAGTTACCTAGTGCAATTGAGAACAAACAACCTTGTATACAGGCAAGTAACAATGTGATGTAAAGTGCATGCTTCAAACACATGCACCCCTTACATCCCAGATATAATGTCCTCATTAGAAGGACACATTATATGACTAGAATGTAAAGCATTTAAGCAATGACTAATCAACAACTTGTCTAAAAAGGCATGCAATATATCAAAAAGAAAGAAAAAGCCATTATATCTAAAATAGAAAGTAGTGAACTAAATTAAATGAGAAAGAAGAATATACAACGTCAGCAGAAATGTTTAAAGGATGAAGAAAGAAGAATTTTACAGTTTGCATTGCTTTGATTATTACCTTCACAATGCAGCACCGCTCAACTTTATAACTACAACCAATTGCAGCACCCCAAGCACGGGAACGTACATTGTTTCTCAGGGTGGAAATATAGCCTGATGTTATACACAAAATATCTTATATTATTCAAACAGCTTCTATGATAAAAGTTATAAGTAACTGCAAAGTTGAGAAATCAACAAAACTACCTCTGTTACACACAGTAATAAGAGTGTGTGTGTGTGTGTGTGTTTGTTAGCACACACAATTAACCAAGTCTGTAGTAGTGATGCACTAAGCAAATACGCCACTGAATGGTATTTGTGCTGGGGTAAATTCAGTGTTTCAAGTCTTAAATATGATTAGTAAAATAGTTTCTATTCTAAAACTTTCTCTTTTTATTTCTTCTGCTGGTACACATGTCACCTTTTAACATTTAGAACCACAATGGAAAGTCAATTTCCACTTATATTACATAATGGTCAAATTGATCCTAAGGTCAGTTCATAAACCTTAATTCAATATTAATATATTCTAAAAAGAATAACTACTGAACCTTTCAAAACTAATCAATGGCAAACCCAAGTTCAACCAGGATATTTTAATTATTTATCATATTCGTAAACTAGGACATTTTATCGTTAACTTATTCCCAGTTATTACTTCTAGATCACTTAGATGCATTTCAATGGTCTTTTTAACACAGCAACACCCAGCTACTATTAGATAATGAAGAAAGAGTGCATCTTTCTAATCTATAAGGACATACAATCTTGTGGAGGTAGCACTCGAATGGTTGTTTGCAACTCTTGTACAGCTACGGGAGGTGGAGAAGCTGTTGGGCGGCAATAACCTGTATGCATGAGAACTATGCAACAAAAATTCAAAATCAGTACCAGTTACAAACAGGTCAAGCCCAGTCATTTGCAATCATAAGCTCACTGCAACCTTTTTGCAATAACACATACCAGCAACAAGATCTGAGTCATAAGTGTAAACATCAGTCCCCCATAGCTGGCCACCTCTAACCTGAACATAATAATATATACTCTTAAAGCTAGGTAAAGCATTAACAACAAAAGCATATATGAATTTCATACCGTGAATTTCAAATTTAAACATAATATGATTAACAAAAAGTAAGTAAATAAATAAGAGACTTTCATCTCATGAAAACATTTTATTAGCTCAAGTACTTAAACAAATTCCTGTCATTGGCAGAGTAATCATAAAATGGACTACAAAAGGTGCTTCCATTGCAGGAACAACAACATACATTAGATTAAACAAAAGGGAAACTATAAAAACGTTGAAAGGGAAAAAGGCATAAAAAGGTGTTTTTATAAGAGAAATAAGTGCAGAAAACATTTCATGAACATCAGCCATGATGAATCAAATTCCTCAAACTTCTCTTTAACAAACAACAAATAAACCATACGTAACTCACAAGGTACAAGAATATAACAGAAGCCAGGAATATTCAAACACAAGGGAGCAAAACCTGAACAAAGACTTCACCAACAGTCGAGGAATCATAAGTAAAGCACACAAAAATAAGCTAATTATCCCCTAATGCGAACATGCTCTAAATCATATCAACAACCCCCCCCCCCAAAAAAAAAAAGAAAAATGCACTCAACTATCAATTAACAGAGTTTGATCCCCCCCAAAAAAAAAATATGCACTCAACTATCAATTAACAGAGTTTGATCTCACTTGACGGTTAGTAGCGGTAACATTCTCAGCTGGTATCCGAATTTCGAGAGTGGGGCCACTGTTAGAACTTTCACTATTTTTTTCCACTTGAGATTGAGATAATTCATATTCCTTCCATAACTTTATCAGTTCTTGCATGCTTTCACCAACTTTATAAACAACAGAAGATAATTCTGCTTTACCTGAAATATCAGAACTCATAATATAATGGACATGAAGAATATAAAGCTATATGCCTCTGATCCTTTTCATTATATCAACAACTACTAACAAAGGTGCATTGTACATTATAATAGTACTATCCCACAATGACACAACACAACAGTAAAAAGGTAGTATAAAGAAGATGAGCAGATCTGAAAGGAGAGAGTGCATCACATAAGCCAATGGCCCAAGTAGAGCAATTTCTGTCAAAACCTGAACTAATTCATGGCATGCAGGCACAATTCTATGACAAGCCAAATAGTGTTGAGCCAGATAAAACAAAATATGACAGGGTACCTTGAGACCTGCAATATAAATGAAACAGGAAGTAATTGTTAAAAGAAAAAATATAAATGGGACGAAGGGCTATAAATATAAAAAATTAAAACGGCAGCACAGAAGTATAAATCAAACAGAACTAAATCTTCAATTTGACATAAGGGAAGAAATCAAAATTATGTTCTTGTCGATTTGCAATAGTAAGTTAGTAACCAAATTCATACATATTCTTAATCTTCAAACAAAAATCTTCAGCTTAAAAACAACTGTTACATTAACAACCTATATTTCAGTTTAGCATATAAATATATTTGCTGGATAACTGTCTTCAACTATATTTCTTCATCAATCAAAACAGAATTTTGAAGAACTTTTTCCTTCAAGTCCCAAACATATTTGATGACTTACTCACACACATTCAAATGCACAATTATATTCCTTACAAGGCCCCAGTATAAGAAAACCTAATAACATTATAGAATATGGTATTTCACAAGGATATTATGGAAATAACTCAAGGAGCAAGCTCCAGATTACAGAGTATAGCATGATTGTAAATATAAAACATTATTAAGGAAAGAACAAAGAATATAGTTAATGTTAAGCTGACAAAAACACCATTGATTTCTTGGCTGACAAATACACTTAATGTTAAGCTGTTTACCCACAAATTCACTTGCAGCTCCTACAAATTTCAGGCTAGTAAAGTACACATGAGAAATAGTTGACTATTATGTGCTACCCCTAGAAAATGTTAAAAGGCAGACATTTTGTAATTCTCAAATGCAATTCAAAAAATGATAGAGATTGAAAATATTATCCAATCATTCTAAGTTTCTAATAAGACTTTGAAAGCTTATCTTTTATAACTACAAAATCACATGGTATAAATTAAAAACATGCTTTAAATGAAAACATATACTTATTGGGTAAGTTATATAAGTTATCACACAAGTAACCAAGAGAACTGGAGGACAAGAAAATACTCTTCGTTGTCTGGAGCATGAGCATGGGATCTAAAACGAGCCTCACGATTGGCCACCTGAGGGCTTCCCCTTGATCGGTGGATCCTTTTACGATGTTGAACATTATAATTATGGACTTCCCTCTCCTTTTCTCCAGTCGCTTCCCCATGTGCAGTTCCATCTTCTGAGTGCTTGTCAATTTTACAGCGCTTCTCAGGCCGATCTCCTTCAAAATCAGCATCCCTTTCTTTCCTCCTCTCTCTTGCTTCTCCATCAACATTTTTCCAGCTATCAGCATCTTTCTGTTTCTTCTGCTCCGGTAGCACATTTTCTTGAGCAGTATTTTTTGCTGATCCATCACCAAGTTCCTTATCATCATTCAAAGCCTCTTTGTCTATGCCATTCCAGGAGTCCCTCTTGCTATGATCCTTTTCCCTCTCTTTTGTACTCTCTTTCTCTTTGTGAAGATCTTTCCTCTCCCTCTCCAATTTTTCTACATCTCTATCTTCCTTGGCAGATTCTTTGTTGTCACCACTATTATTAACTGGTGTACTGCTTCTGCGATCACTTCTCTCCTTTTCCCTATCGCCCCAATCCCGATGCTTGCCTTCCTTTCTTTTTCTTTCCTTAAATCTATCTTCACTTTTAGAATCAATTTTGTTTTCCCCAACAGCCTCATGAGTTTCGAAATTGTCCCTTTCATCTGCGGTTGAACTGTCCTTTCCAACTTCTGGTGTATTGCCACGTGATGCATGCCAGGAATCCAAACTCCCACCAGGGGCATCAGAAAATCTCTTCCCCCTATACTCCTTTGATTCTTTCCAATTCAAGTGGCTGCTGCTGCTTACCATACCATAGCCATCCTTCTCTGTCTTAACGTCACCTTTTGAATCATTATGGCTATCTCTTTCATTTCTGATATCCTTGTTGTCATCTCCTCTGCCATCAACTCGCACATCTTTCTCACTCTTAGCAATATGAGAATCCCTTCTGGCTTCCCCATGCAATTCCTTCTTCTCTGCCTTCAGATCACGATTCTCAAACCGGAGATCTCTACTCTCCTTAAAATCCCTAGATTCCATCCTGTTCTCAGTTCCAGTGGAATGATCTGTATGAGAATCATTTGAAGATGATGACATCCGATACACTGTATGAAGAGGAGATCTTCTATCTGCATCACGAGGTTCAGTACGGAGTGTCTTTGCCACCCGGGAATCCTGGCCCATGTCATACGGAATATGGTGGTCATTTGAAACTGATGGCATCAACTTGGAATATGTACCTGAATCTTGATGAGGATGCTTTGAAGACTGATGAACAGCATCTTCATGAGATCTCTTTGGTACACCACTCATAGTGAAAACCCAACACGGTTATAAACCTAAAAAAAAAAAAAATCCGACAGCCAGAACAGTTCCTATCTCTGCATTTCACATGTTGCACGGTAGTTAGTAGCTGCAAGCCAGTAATGGAAACAACATAACACTGCATTAATGTATAACACCAAAAACAATTTTCAAATGCATTCATGTTTAACATATGTGAAAAATGTCAAAGAGAAACAATGACAGAGAAGTCAACTAGACAGTAACCGCCAAAGCAACATCCTCTACACAATCAACATCACATTAATACATACCACAACAAACGTAAACTAATCAGAATTACTTTTTTCATAATGCCACAATATAATTTATCATGCCAAAAACAATTTGCATATGCATTCAAGTTAACATATGAGAAACACAACAAAGAGAAACAGTAACAGAGAAGTCAACGAGACAGTAACCAACGAAGCAACACAATCAACATCAAATTAATACATACCATGTCAAACAAAAACTAATCAGAATTACTTTTACATATCAGAGACACAACAAAGAGAAACAATGATAGAGAAGTCAGCATGAAAATAACCGATAAAGCAAAATAATATGAAATCAATGCATACCACAACAAACATAAAACTTAATCAGATTTTTTTTATTCTTTATCACACAGCATTTACATGCAGTACAAGTATAATTACAACCCTAGAATCAAGTATTGAATGCCAATTAGCCTGCGTCAAAACTTAAATTTCTCTCTCTCACTCACTCACACACACATCGTCGTTATCTTCGTCATCAATCAACAACAACAAAGTGAAAACAAGATGACCTAGTTACTGGTCAAAATCTCTCTCTCTCTCTCTCACACACACACACACACGTCATCATCCTGAGCAACAACATTATCATAGAATTCAAAATCTACTGACCTATTTTCCATCCAAAACCCAATCATATCATTAGAAACATAGCCAATTTCAATACACAACCTCCTAAACAACTTGAAGAAAGGGAACAACATTTTTTCCCTGCTGAGGGGAAAAGATTAAACCCAATTTAGAGCCATAACACCTGTAGATTACCAGGCTACACAATTGCAGTTCATGAAGTTAGAAAATCGGCATTATCAGGTTACTCAATCGGATAAAAATTTCAAATCCTTACTATCCAACTCAAACTCCGCGGCAGAGAAAACACCAAAGGAAAAAGCTGTGTAAATTAGAAGAAGCAAATTGTCGAACAGAAATAACAATTTGCATGACATTCAAATGTGAAAAAAATAGAAAATAGGGAAATCGACTGCACATAGAACGAAGGAAGCGCATGGGGAGGGAACTGAAGATGCAAATGCAAATGCAACTGGAAGTGAAATGGATTGAAAAATTGGAGCAGCGAAAGAGTAAGCAAAAGAAAACCCTAGAAGTTGTCGAGGAAGAGTGTTTGAGGTAACCTTAATTGTCGCGGAGCCTCTTCTATCGGAAGTGTGTTGTGTGTGGCTTTTGAAGGTTTGTGTTGTGTTTATGTGTGAGACTGTGTCTGTGATACACACTGAACGATAGCCTCTGTATCGTGTTGATGCAATGCTAACACCAAACACAAAATGCGGAAGAAAAATATCGGTTCAATTTTAGAATGATTTATACACATTTTAAATATTTTTTATTTAATAGCTTTTAATCGATTATAATAATATATGAAATTGATAATCTTGTATTTATATTAGGGTTGGTATATACTAAAAATTTTAAAACTAATCCATATTCATCGAGATAAAATACATTATATCTTGTTTTATATCTATTTAACTAAATTAAATTGATTGATTTATTTTATTTTATTTTTATTTTAAGTTGGATTCAAATCATATTAAGTCCAAATTTATTTAATAATTAGTTTAAATAATATTAATCTTAATTTTATTTCTATTTAATTAGATTAAATTAATTTATAGTTTTCTAATCTATTTTATATGTAGATTTTAATTGAGTAAATTTAAGTTTATTTACTCATTTAATTTATATAAAATTGATTAAAATAAAAATTATTATATACGATAAATTTAAATTAAGTTTTATTTAAAATAATGTAATTATTTTCATTAATATATAAAATTGATTAAAATAAAAATTATTATATACGATAAATTTAAATTAAGTTTTATTTAAAATAATGTAATTATTTTTATTAAGTAATTAAGATATTTTTTCTAGGATTGAAATGTTAACTTTGAAAGTGATTATATGCATTAAGTATATACACTTTACTAATATAATTAATATATACACATATTTGAAATGGTAAACATTAGAATAAATAATTATTGTAAACCTTACAGAAAATAATTATATAAAATAATATTTTTTTATATATAAATATAAAGTAAAACAGAAAGAAACTTTTTTTTTAATTCCTTATAATTTAAACAAGATAAATAATTTTATACTAATTTTTATTGGTTACTTTTTCAACTTTCACTTTATCTACAATTCTGTCATCGTAAATGAATATTAATTAATACATTTAATAAGTAAATTAACTTACGTGATACATTTAATATAAACATATCCTAAATGACTGTTCTAAAATTCATACATTTAATATATAATTGACAACGAATATGTTTGATTAATTTTTTTGAAAAAGTTTTCAAATAATAATTTATTATGATTTTTAACATATTTAAGTTTTTTTTAAATCATCAGTTTTTTTAATAAGTATCTCAAAGTTAATTTTCATAAATAGCATATTTATGGAAGTGATAATTTTAAAAAATACAAAAAACACTTTTATTATAGTTTAAAATAAAACATTTATTTAAGTTAATATTTTTTAAAATTAAAAGAAAAATTATGTTTTAAATATGATCCGATTTTCATATCAATACTTTTAATTTATTATCAATTATAAGTGAATAAATGTTAAGAGTAATATATTTAAAAAAATTACTTAAATAAAATTTATATAAATTTATTTATTATTCATGTATAATTTTTCTTCACTTTCTTTATAATTTTTTATTTTTTTTCTTCATCCTCATCTTATTTTATATTTTATATTTTTCTATCTTATGTCCCTTTTTTCTCTCTTTTCTTTACCATTTATTCTTTTAATTAAATTAATTTGTTGAAATTTAATAAAAAATGTTAAAACAAATATTTTAAAACACAACATTAAAATTAAAAAAAATATATATGATCTAATTATTTAAAATTATGATGATAATAATAGTTTATTTATTTTGATAATAAATAACTTCTTTTATGATTATATAAATAATTAATTTAAAATTATTTATCATAATAAATAACTATTCGTCTAATTAAAAAATATCGAATATTTATTGGTTAAATTGATTTGTATTTAATAATTTAATTTAGTTATAATTAGATTAAGTTATAATAATTATTTAGATTAAATAATTTTAAAAATTGCTTTAAATTAAATATTTAATTTTTTTTATAATTATAACATAACACTCATATTTATAACATTTTTTATTTTTAAAAAATATAATATATTAAATTATAATATTTCTAAATCATTTAAATATTTTTACTTTTCACTTTGTCAAATTTCAATTTATTATTTTTAATTGAAGAATAAGATGGAGCAAGAGAAAATCGGGGTGCAAAACAATTTCAATGCGTAAAGTATCTCGGACTTAGAATTGATCCTAACGATGTTATCATGGACATAAGACTGGAACTTATTTGTTCTTTAAATGAAACATTGACGCCCACCGTGGGAGTGCGAAAGTAGAGTCTCGCTCCATAGTGGGAAACTTATATTCCGATACGCTTATAAGTCCTACATCGCCTAGGAGTCAACCATCGACACATCTTTTAAGGACAAAATCATAATAGACAAGAACTCTAAAGCGGACAATATCTTGAACGTGAGAATTGACTATAAGAATGTTATCATAATCGATATGAGGCAGGGACATATTCGTTCTTTAAATAAAATATTTCTTTCACTCATAAGTCCTACATTATTTAGGAGTTGACTATCGAGACACATTTTAACGATAAAATTGTGATGGATGAGTGTCAAAAGCGGATAATATTTCCAATGTGAGAATTAACTATAACGATATTATCATAATCGATATGAAACCGAGATATACTCGTTCATTAAACAAAATATTTCTATTTATTAAATTTTGTATATAAACTATATACAAGTATGATTAGATAAATAAACTTTAAAAAATTATTTAAATATTTTTTAAAATATATATTTTTAATGATATTGAGTTGTTATATGCCCTAAAAATATTATATTTAATAAAAATAACAATAATGGTTTTATAAAAAGGATAAATAATATTCCACAAGTTGAATATATTATTTTTCTATTGTCTATTCTGGAATTTATCAATCTAAGTGATACTTTTTTAAAATTTAAAATAACATGATTACTTATATTTAATTATGTATTACACGAAAATTAATCAGATTTACACCTCCAAATTAATAATTTGTCCCATTTAAGGGTTATTTTTCGGTGTATTTATATATTTGTGTTGTATTTTGTAATCTAGTGGCTAAACTTTTTGCTATATGGTTATGTATTTATTTGTGTTGTATTTTGTAGATATATATATATAATATATATATATATATATATAGGTAAATTTTATTTATTTCATTTCTTTTAATAATTACAAATTAATTTATATTTGAAAGCCATAAATGTAATTGCATTTTATAGTTGGATGTCAATAGTTTATCAGGTTGAAGGATAATAATGGGATTTATGATATTCCCATAATTATTAATATTGTTTTCACTGTAATTTTCATCTTAAATTTTATTTTACTTACTAACTCAATCTTTTATTTGTTTGAATCGCAGATAAAGTAATTAAAAATATAATACTTCTTTATCTTTTAATAAAAATCATCAAAATCAATATTTTTTATATTTACAAGATAATAATAATAATAATATATACTTATAACATAAATATATAATATTTTTAAAATAATAAATATAAAAATAATAACGCAAATTTACTTTACAAATTCCTGTAGTTAATAAGAATGGATATATGGTATAAAATATTTAGTCATTTATGAGATTAAATATTTAACTTAAGTTATATATATAAATGTAAAAGTTCATTTAAGTTAAGAGTAAAGTTAGAGTTTATTATAATTTAATGATTTACACTATTAAATTATGAAAAAGAAAATTTAATTGTAAAGATGAGAAATAGTTAAGAAAAAAATTCTAAATATTATTTTTAATACATTAATAAGACTTATGTTACTTAAAAATTAAAATTAAAGATAATCTATAAATATTTTTTAATTTAATTTAATGAGATGCACTTTAAAAATAAAATTATAATAGATAAAAAATTTAAAATAGATAATACGTTATACTCTCTTTTGTAGTAGCGAAACTTAAAAGAAAGTTGAAAAAAATAAAATAATATATATATATATATATATATATATATATATATATAAAGAAATGAAAAAATTTGGAGTAATAGTTTCTTGTTAAAAAAATATGTTATCACATTTTTTATTCCGGAATAGATATTATTATTTTTTTAATTTAATAATTAAGATTAATTATTATTTATATTATTATATTAAAAAAATATAAATAAAAAATATATTTTTAGATTAAAATTTATATATAAATAGATGAAAGAAAAAAATAAATACAGAGGTATAGTAATGTTTATGAATGAATAGGTAAGCATGTGCCAACTTTACGTACAAGAATACATCACACATGCTAGTTAGGTAAAACAGATGCATGCTTTGTCTAAAAATAATTTAATAATATATATAAAATAATTTTCTAAATGCAAATTATTTCGATACAATTTTTAAGTTTTAAGTTACCTATTATATTAATTTGAAAGGTTGTTATACATAATAATTTGTGATTAAATAATTCTTACGCTGAATATAATATTTTTTAAATATATAAAAAACATATTTATATATTATTATTGTTATTAGGGAAAATAATATATTATTGTGTGTCCATAATTATAAAATAATTATTACTTTCAAATAAAATTTTATAATATAAAAGAATAATATAAATGTATTTCTTTCTTTTCTCTCCCACCAAACCTTCAAAATAATTCCTAGAAAGAAAAACTTGTCTACATCATTAAAAAGAAAGATAAAAGGAATTCTGGTAACATACATTATTGTAGGGTTTTGATGTGAAATTAAAAAAATTGAAAACAATAACCTCCACTTATTTGTGTTGTGTCTTCTGGATTCTCGCCCACATTCGTTGATTGAACATAGAGAGAATATCAAGAAGAAAAAGAAGATTTGATGATAGATATGGCGTTGAAGAGCACATTCTACATATCTCATGGATCACCCACTTTGTCCATTGATGAATCCATTGAAGCTAGGAAGTTCCTTCAGTCATGGAAGAAGGATGTGTTTCCTCACAGACCCTCTTCAATTCTCATCATCTCTGGTCATTGGGACACCGCAGTTCCTACTGTTAACGTAGTTGATTCCGTCAACGATACCATCTATGATTTCTATGGATTCCCCAAACAAATGTACCAGGTTTCCAACTAGTACCTCTATATTTAGATTACCCTTATTCTCCCTCTTGTTCATTTTTGTTTTTGCATTCTTTGTTGTGGAAAACTATTTTCATTTGACATAGGACTATAGATTTCTATGTTGGTGTGTTTGGTAGATTTATATTGAAACCTTTTACATTTCATGCTTGATGCTTCCTCTACTAGCTTAAATACCCTGCACCTGGAGCACCACAGTTGGCAAGAAGGGTGAAGGAACTACTCAAGAAATCTGGTTTCAACCAGGTAGATGAAGATACAGAACGAGGACTTGACCATGGTGCTTGGGTTCCTCTCTTTTTGATGTACCCAGAAGCTGATATCCCAGTTTGTCAGCTATCTATTCAATCAAACAAAGATGGAACTTATCATCATAACTTGGGAAAGGCATTGGCCCCTCTTAAAGATGAAGGTGTATTGATCATAGGTTCTGGAAGTGCTACTCACAACTTGAGAAAACTTGATCTTGGTTCTAACCCCACTGTTGCTCCTTGGGCTCTAGAATTTGATAACTGGTTGAAAGAAGCTCTTCTTGAAGGAAGGTATGCAAGCACTTTTCTCTTTTTGATGTTCAAATTTGATAAATATTGAAAGTTTAATCAGTTAATTAATCACACACTGCTGATCAAACTCAAAAAAGGTTATAAATTTAGATGAAACAGTTGGATTTTTCATAAACTTGTTTGTACTTTTCATACTTTCAAGGACTAAAATATGACAATGAAATCATGGTTTTGTTTATGTTATTATGGTGTTAAACTGCATAGATATAGTGTATACATTAGAAAACTAAGCATTGAATGTTGTAGAGTTTGGCTCTTCATGGAATGGTTGTTAAGGTTTAAATAATTTTGCAGATATGAAGATGTAAATGATTATGAAGAGAAAGCACCACATGCAAAAATGGCTCATCCTTGGCCAGATCACTTTTATCCATTACATGTTGCTATTGGTGCTTCTGGTGACGATGCAAAGGCCAAACTTATTCACAGCAGTATTGGCATGGGCACGCTCTCTTATGCCTCTTACCAGTTTACCTCAGCTGCTACTTGACTCAGTTGTGTTGTGTACCCTCTAAACACAGACATCCAACATTTCTAAACATGTATTGCTTGCAGGCTATGTTTCTCTGAATAATGTCTTGTAATAAAGCATTTGTTTTAATATTAATTTCAAGGACTACTTTTTTTGGTGGTTGATATGATGATGTTAATATATTATTTTTTTCTTTTTGTTTAGAAATTTCTAGTTAAATATGAGGTAAAATACTAAATAATTTAACATTTTTCTAATAAATCCTTTATTATGAGTTTGTTAGGCTATGTTGTCTTGTACATGTTTTTTTTCTCAGTTTCAAGCACCACCTATGCTATGTAGAATTGTATTGAGTTTACTTTGCTCTAGCTTTACAGGTAAATAAAAATTTTGATCGTCTAGTTTGGTCAGAGTAAACTTTTTAGTCTAATTTGATATTAACGGTTAATTGATCAATTTTTATTTGATTGAATTATATACATACATACATATATATATATATATATATATACTTTTTAATTATAAATTTTATTAATGAGATTAATTTTATTTAATATATTATAATTTAACATATAAGTTATAAGAAAATATATTTATTCAATTTTAAAATAAGAATTAAAAATTTTCTCTTTATTATTATATTTATTTTTTATTAATTTAAAATAATAATTAATCTTAATTATTAGATCTTGAAATAAATTATTGTTAGAGATTTATTTTGATATTTATTCTTAGTGAATCTCTTGCCAAATTAATTTATAATATTATTTTTAATGTAAATGATTTGTTATTTGGTTCAATTAAATTATCTTCCGATTATGTGATGAATCAGTTAAATATCATGTGAGTTCATTTTATACTAATCACTTATATTTAAAATACAATATATTTTAACTAAAGATTTATCTGATACAATTTTTAATTTCAATATGATTTGAAACATTAAAAGTAAATTGTAAGGATAGTAAAGAAAAACAAAAGTAAATTACTCAAGAGTAAATGTGTAAAGAAAATAAATGATTGAAAGATGGATTTAACTTATTATTAAAGATAAAAAAGAAATTGATAAAGAAAATAAATGAAAGTGACAATCCAAATTGTAAAGAACTTCATTGAGAATAATTGTTCCTTGTTCGTAGCGTTGTTCAGAATGTAAGTTTCTTTATACAATTTGGTAATTATCATTTTTTACATTTATATTCCCTATTTTATATTTTCCTTATGTGTAATTGTTGAAATAAAACTACCCCAACAAAATAATAAAAGAAATTTCCAACCAAAGTAAAATATAATAAAAAAATAAAATAAAAATCCACAAGTGGTTACTTTATTACAACTATCCTCTCTTTCTTTGACTCATGTTGTCGCGACGCCCCTCCTATTAGTGTGCATGTATAATAATGGGATAATAATTGTCTCTACATATATTTTCGATTATGTTGCTTCCTCTCGATATCTCATATTTGTTCGTTTTGCACCATAAGTCTCGATGTCTTCTACTTTTTCAATCTCTCAATGTTTGAATTCATTACACTTGTAACATTTTATCTTTCAATACATTATTCGATCCTTTCTTTCGTACCCTCTCCTCTTTCAACTACTTCCTATTTTTTCACATGTACCTTCAGTCCTTTCAATTCAACAAATCATATTACATTTCCCTCCCTTTTTCTCACAATTTCCTTTAATTATTATCAATCATTAACTACTGGATACCTCAAATTTATCAACATGGTCTTTTAACATTTCTTCCCCTTTCTCGATTCTTTCCTTTTGATATATTTGTAATTTTATCTCTAACACGCACATACACACACATATACATATAATTACTTTTAGTTTTATTTAAAAAATAATTATTATTCAATAAAATGAGTCAACCCATAAGTTTACGGGCTAACTTTGCCTAGGGATGGTAAAATGGGTTAATATGACCTACGGATGACAAAACGGGCTAGCCTGTCCTACTGATGGTAAAACAGGTTAGGTCCGATGGATTAACCTGTCTACCCGCCTAAAAAATGGGGGACGCGAATTGGTGATTTTAGCCCGTTTTGACCCACCTCGCGCTAGCCTACCAATTCAATGGCCTAAAGACGGGCTAGTCAGTTGGCCTACTATAAAAAATATTTATATATTAAAATTAAGATAAAAAAATTATAATTAAAAATATTATATGTTTTTATATTATGTTATTAAAATATATAAATATATTATAATTTAAATTATTGGTTATAATTAGTTATTTTAACAAAAAAATATAATATTTTTTCAATTTATCTAATAAAAATATTAGTTAATAAATAAAAATTTAAAAATTAGTTATATAATTAAATATATATTTTAAAAAAATACATATAAAAAAATTATTGATGGACTGGTTTGTTGACCCGCTAATAGCCCTTTGATCGGGGCAAACTAGGGTCTTTGATCCGTCATGATTATGGGTTGACCCATTTTACCATTAGTTTAAGCTCATTTATATTATAACCTTAATAAGTTGGGTCAAAATAAGTCTAATTTAATTTAAGTCACAATTAAAATAAATCATATTTTACTCTTCATATTCACATTTCATTTTCGGAATACATTCTAGATTGAGTATTTCAAAATATATTTATTGAACAACCAATGTGAAAATACATTATGAAACGCCTAATATGAAATACGTTTCTGAAACAATTAATCTAAAATATATTTCTAAAATACAATCTTAAATGTATTTTCAGACATACGGTTCTAGAAATGCATTATGAAAATTCAAAAATGGATTTTATATTCAACAGTTTGGATTCCTATACTCCCTTTTAATCTAATTTTCATATAATAACTACAAAATATTAATAATGTCTCATCGGCAAAATGAAATTATAAAAATAATCTTCAGTGAAAATGGAACCACGACAAAATGAAACTATAAAAATTATATAGGTCCAAAAAAATATGAAAGTCTAAAGAAACGAAAGAGAAAAAGCTCTTAGATTTAAAAAATAATTTAATAAAATGATATTTTGGTCATCTTATACGAGGGGATAAGAAAAAAAAAAAATTTTTTAATCCAATTTATTTTTCAAACCTCTCCTTGACATTCTATTTAGTATTGGATATTAAAGTATTTCTTGAATTAATTTAAGGTTAATAAGCATAATGTTTTGTTCAATATTGTCCTGTTAACACTCATTCTGTCACATTGTTTTCTAGTGTTTTAGTTTGAAAATTTATCTCATCCACCATTTATATTATTATTGTTAGAAAATATGTAAAAACATCTATTTATTATGTCAATTTATTGAATTATATTGTCTAGCTATTTTTACTATATAAGAGTTAGTTATGATAGATAATTTCATTAATACTTTTTATTTAGACTTTTTTTAAGAATAAAGTGATTAAAGTAATAAGGTAAAAAAAAATACTTAGATTTTGATTTTATAGATTTATATATTTTTTATTTATATTTATGAAATTGAAATTATTTTTAGAGATATTAACTTTATTTAAACTTATATTTTACACTATAATTTATTTGAATTTATATTTGTGAAATACTAATTTTATTTATATTAATATTTATATACATTAAGATAGAAGAATTTATTTAAGTTTATTAGTGTTTCACAATGCATGTAAAATTAAATTGAGATAATCAATTACTTTTTTACATATTATCAGTTACAAGCACAATTTTTTTTTTTAAGAAAAACAACAATTAATTATTACATATTAAAGATAATCAATCTTTACATTTAATATATTACTTTTCTATTTCTACTCATAAAGATTTTTTCACCACTCTTATTATTCGGTCAACACATATTTAAGTTTTTAAATTTGAAATAACACAATTATTTATATTTAATTTTACAATTTCCTAAAAATTTGTTCTAAACAATGAATATAAAGTATGGAATGTTTAACTTAATTTATTTATAGTTTTAATTTGTCAATTTATTTTAGTTTATTAACGTTTAAAAAAACTATTTATATATTAAAATTAAAATTAAAATATTATATTTTTTATATTATAAAATTTATAAATATATTATAATTTAAATTATAAAATTAATTAATAAAAAATTTAAATTATTGATTATAATTAATTATTTTAATATATAAGTATAATAATTTTTTAATTTTATCTAATAAAAATATTAATTAATAAATAAAAATATAAAAAATATTTATATAATTAAAAATATAATATTAAAAAAATATAAAAAATATTTATATAAAAAAATTATTGATATTTGATAGAATAATTTAAATCATGTAATTCATCCTTATTATATCCATTTTATTATCTCTACCCATTTTATTATCTCTCCTTATGATATAATAGAATCTGATTTTTTCTTCGTAAAAAAAATATATTTTAAGTTGATAAAGAAAATAACAACTATTAGATAGAATAATTATGATGGAATGAATAAGATAAACACATAGCAGCTTAATCAGAAAGAATGGTTGGTATATGTCAAATTCTCACAACTACCCTTTCCATATTTTTCCACCTAATACATGACATGCTAGTTAGGTAAATCATAATCATAATTTGTTTAAAAGAATATAATAATATTATTATTATCATAAAAATATTTTTCTAATCACAAATTATTTTATTATATAAATTAGAAAACTCATTATACATAACAATTCATAATTAAATTATTTACGTTTTTAAAAAATTATGAAAAATATAAAAACATATTAATGACAATTATTATTTTGAAGTGACTTTCTATGAACTTAGTTAACAAAAAATGAAAAAAAAGAAAAGTTCACTTATTTGTGTCTTGTCCTGGATTCTCTCTCAGCACATTTTTCTCTGCGTATATATTTGGAAATTGTCGTTAAATTTGTTGTGTTGAGTGTGTTGAGAAAAGTTGATTAAACATAGAGAGAATATCTAGAGAGAAAAGAAGATTTGGTGAGAGATATGGCGTTGAAGGACACATTCTACATATCTCATGGATCACCCACCTTGTCCATTGATGAATCCATTAAAGCTAGGAAGTTCCTTCAGTCATGGAAGAAGGAGGTGTTTCCTCACAGACCCTCTTCAATTCTCGTCATTTCTGGTCATTGGGACACCACAGTTCCTACTGTTAACGTAGTTGACTCCGTCAACGACACCATCTATGACTTCTACGGATTTCCCAAACAAATGTACCAGGTTTCCACCTAGTACCTCTGAATTTAGATTACCCCTATTCACCCCCTTGTTCATATTTGTTTTTGCATTCTTATTTTTTTAGAAGAGAAGTGTTTTAGTTTCGGGAGAAACGAGGAATTGAGTATTTGACCTTGTTGCTATTTGATATTTTCTGAATTAAAAATATTTTTCTATGGTTTTTGACTTTTTCTCTGTTTGAGGTTCTTGGTTATGGGTCTTTCTTTGGTCATGATTGGATAATCTTCTCTCTAAACATTTGCAAACCAAAAAAAGTCAATAACAATGGAAAAACGAAAGGAATTTCTCTGATAAAAGTTGATTTTTACATGTTTGTAAACTAGTTTTGAAGTATTAGAGAAGTTTATGGAGAATTTACTTAACCATGCTTATGTTGAATTGGGAATGTCAAAAAATTAACTTGAAGAAATAATCCATAACCCCACAAGTAGGAATGCAATCCTGGAAATTTGCCTATGTACACAGTTATGTGTTGATGTTTAAATTTTGTCATTCAAAAGTAATGCTTTGTCTTTTTTCATTTCACATAGGACTAGACTATCCATGGTGATGTTGTTTGGTAGATTTATATAGAAATATCTTACAGTACATGCTTGGTGCTTCTTCTACTAGCTTAAATATCCTGCACCTGGAGCACCACAATTGGCAAGGAGGGTGAAAGAACTTCTCAGAAAATCCGGTTTCAACCGTGTTGATGAAGATACAAGCCGAGGGCTTGACCATGGTGCTTGGGTTCCTCTCCTTTTGATGTACCCAGAAGCTGATATTCCAGTTTGTCAGCTATCTGTTCAATCAAACAAAGATGGAACTTATCATTATAACTTGGGAAAGGCCTTGGCCCCTCTTAAAGATGAAGGTGTATTGATCATGGGTTCTGGAAGTGCTGTTCACAACTTGAGAACAATTAATCCAAATTCCACTGTTGATCCCTGGGCTCTAGAATTTGATAATTGGTTGAAAGATGCTCTTCTTGAAGGAAGGTATGCAAGCTTTTTTCTGTTTTGATGTTCTAATTAGGTAAATACATTGTTGACCTTGCTATAGATGTTAACTACATGCATGTTATTACCAATCTAGTCCATGGCATTGGAAAACTAGCCATTGGATGCTGTATAGTTTGGCTCTTCATGGATTGGTAAGGTTTCAATTGCTTTTGTGGATATAAGATGTAAATCATTATGAACAGAAAATTAGATTTATCGGTGTTCAAATGTGCTCAATGCAAGTTCATCTTATTAAAGATGTTAACTGCATGGATCCAATTACCAAGATACTGTATGACATTGGAAAACTAGCCATTGAAAGTTGTAGAGTTTGGCTTTGTAAGGATTCTTTGTTAAACTTTTCTATCACTTTCGTAGATATGAAGATGTAAATCACTATGAACAGAAAGCGCCACATGCAAAAAAGGCTCATCCCTGGCCGGATCACTTTTATCCGCTGCATGTTGCTGTTGGTGCTGCTGGTGAAAATGCAAAGGCCAAACTTATCCACAGTAGTATTGAATATGGCAGTCTCTCTTATGCTTCTTATCAGTTTACATCTGTAGCTGACAGTTGAACTTCTTAATGCATAATAGCTGCTATTCAATTGCGTATCCTTTATACACAATTATTCAATATTTATGAAGATATGTTGCTTGCAAGTCAGATTTACGATTCTGTGATGTATTGCAAATAATTGATTTATAGTAAACTAATTGTTGTTAATAAAAGAGTTTTATTTTGAGGGCTTGCCTTGTTGAGATTATGGTTGGTGATTACCCTTTTCTTATTTTTATTTCTTTTGCCTTTTATTGGGCTTTTGCTGCTTTTGGTTTTATCAAACGGTTGCAATGAACTGTAACGGGGGTGTGAAAACTAAGCAAACTAGCTGAGATGATTTCAATCCCTGAGTTGTGGTTTGCATAAAACTTAAGGCATATTTTATAGTTCATTCAATGTGTTGAGTTGTTCTAGTCCGAGTAGATTTAATTGGTAGGTAGGCATCAATTTACTGTGATGATCCTAGAGAAGCCTGATTCATGGAACATGTGGCGAAATTATAAATGCAAAATGAACCTATCTTACTGGAAAACTACTCATAATTCTGAATAATTTTTTGTGCAAGGCTGAGGCTAGTTGGAAGCAAAGTCTGTTCACTATGGAGTATGAACTTAAAACTTTTGAATTATCTTACAATCAAGTAACATTCCAAATTCCAAAGATTATTAGTAGTGTACTAAGTAGTTATTGTACAATCTTATAAATTTCATATTGTATCAGTGGAGGTATAATTTGATCAAGGAATTCGCAGAAACAATTAGAGAATTATAAATTATGGCTCATGAGTTTTCTACTAAACTTATGTACACTAATTCAGTAGAATGTACGGAACAAATAGAAGTGCTTCTCTTTTTTTCCTTTCCTCTTGGAAACACATTATCACTGCTATCATTTCTCACACCCTTGTTATTGAATAGCATTCAAAACATTGAACCTGTTCTCAGATTCAATATTGCCTTGGATTTCTTTCACAAAATGGTTATCTTGAACTTTGCCATCTGTGATAAACTTTAACTCTTTGTTGTTCTATATTCTCAAGGTTGTTTCTGCCATTTGAACCAGTCAACTTTTAGGTTTTGTTGTGCTTATATTCAAAACTGATTGGAAGGTGTTTTTGCTGTAAAAGTTAGTGGGGTTGGTGTAGAAGGTAATGTATTTCAAACATGATGACCAGATGACCATAGATCAGCTTAACCATGACGCTAAGAAACAATAGTGGATACTATGATATGGTTGAAATTTTTAATTATTCATTACATTAAAGATATGGATGTTGAAATTGTTTATAGAAATAATAATTTTGTTTCTTTCAATTGAAGTTAAAGATTATATCTTTTTTTTTTCATTTCACTCATAATTAGTAAAACATAATAAGTTAAATAATTAATATATTAATATAAAAACAAAATTTACTATTTTATTGAAAAGAACCCTAAATATTCCATTAAAGGGGCACAAATACCTATTACATCCACTTTTAATTACCAAAGATTAAAAATATATTTTTTATAAATGTTAAAAATTAAGATCAAGGTTGGCCGGTCAAATATAAAAATTTCTTTCTTATTCCTTGTTCTTTTCGGCTCTATTGAAATAGTTCATTCTTCATTCATTCATTATTATTATTATTAGTATATAAGAAGAAGCTCCTGAGATTTTGTTACAGTTCAAATTCTGTGAGAAGGAAGAAGAAAAGATAGAAAGTGGTGATTGGATTGAAAAGAAGAAGAAGAATAGAAAGACTATGGCGTTGAAATTGAAGCAGACTTTCTACGTCTCGCATGGATCACCAACTCTGGCCGTAGATGAATCGATTCCGGCCTGGAACTTCTTCAGTTCGTGGAAGGACCAGTTTCCGACTCCACCATCCGCCATCCTCATCATCTCCGGCCACTGGGACACCCATGTCCCCACCGTCAACGTCGTTGACCAAAACAACACCATCTACGACTTCTATGGCTTCCCCAAATCCATGTACAAGGTTTCCATCTCTTTCTAATCTTCTCCTATCTTTCTCTATTAGGTTAAATTACTCTTTTATTTTTATTTTTATTTTCAATTTTCTTTCTTTATTGTTAAAATTTGAAGAAGATATTTAATTTAAAAAATCAAATTAATATTACTCTTCTTAAGTTATTGAAAGATGCAAAATTTAAAGATGTTCTGACCAAGAATTTTATTTATTTTTTACGCATTGTTTCTATTTTTGGTGAAGTTGGTGGTGGAGACAAACAATGTCTTATTTTGGTTTTAAAGTTTGTAGCGTCCATTTCTGGCATTGACCCCACTAACCAAATTTTTGTTTCCGTTGACTATCAACTTAAAAAAAAAACATTTTATATATATATATATATATATATATATATATATATTATAAATTCAAGTTAACTTTTATATAACATTATTTTATTTTTTAAAATATTTTTAATTTATATGTAAAATTAATTTTGATTTTTTTTTCTGAATTTACACTTATATTCTAATTATTTGTTATCTTCTGTATTTTGACTTCCTCAATCCCTTGCTTTCTTTTTTAAACTATTCCAGACTTGGTAATCAAGATTTGTAGTATATCAAGTACAAAATAAATTTATTTGTAAATATAAATCCCTCGTGAGAATGAGACAAAGATATACAAAAAAATTATTATTTAAAATAAAAAATTAATCTTTGAATAGGTAGAATCCTTTGACTGGATCAATTTTATTCTATTGAACTAATTTTAACTTTTTTTTCACTTTTTTAAATAAAATCCATTTAAAAAAAATAATAAATCGATTTCTGGAGCGATTCATAAGATTAGTTAAATCATCATGTTTAAATTGATTTTTATAATCATGTTGGTAAATATTAAGGGTATGTTTATTTACTTCTCATATTTTTGTTCAAAATTTATTTTCTAACAGAATTTCATGTTTTCCAACAATTAATTCTTCCAATTTATCAACTTTTGAAACTTGTATTTAAAACTAGTATTTGAAGAAACTCAAGGGTGTGAATAATGTATAACCAAGATAGATTTAGCAAGATATAAACTTTATTGTAATTTTTTTTTTTGGTTGTAAAGGATCTTCTAATTTTCTAACAATTAATTTATGTGAGACAACCTAATTTACTACTAAAACCTTCAGTAGGAATTTCTTTTTCAATCATTCTTTTTTTGCATACGCAATATTTGAATCTAAGACCTTAAATATTCGAATTAAGCTTGATTAGTCCTTTGCAAATGTTTTCTTTTCCTCTGTTTTTTTTTTTAATAAAAACTAAAAACTGTTTCTTGAGAATAGAAATCAAATTTTCTAGCGGTGTGTATAACTTGTGTACCCTTTTTTCTTGGCAGCTGAAGTATCCAGCACCTGGGGCACCACACTTGGCCAAGAGGGTGAAGGAGCTACTCTTGGGATCAGGGTTTAGCCATGTGGATGAAGACAGGAAACGTGGGCTTGACCATGGTGCATGGGTGCCTCTCTTGTTGATGTACCCTGAGGCAGACATTCCAGTGTGTCAACTCTCAATTTCTTCCAACAAAGGAGGTACTTACCACTATAACATGGGAAAGGCTTTAGCCCCTCTTAAAGATGAAGGTGTTCTAATCATTGGGTCTGGGAGTGCCACCCACAACCTCAGAGCAATTGCCCCTCGTAATAGCCCAGTTGCTCCATGGGCTCAGGCTTTTATGTCCTGGCTAAAAACCTCTCTTCTTGATGGAAGGTAATGATTTCCTTGCATTGGTTTTCACTTTCATATGTATTCATACTCACATTCTTTGTAAGGTCTTAAAACTTTTAATTCTTTGCCCGGAAAAGAATTGCAAATGCTAACCTCACATCTTTGTCTGGTCTTAAACTCTTAAATGTTTCTAAGATATTAGATATACGATTGTGGATTGGAAATGCATATACCATTACTTTCTTAGGTGTCAAAGGATGTTTACTAAAAAAATGTTATATTTTGGTTCTACTCAAAAGAATCTAATGAGAACGAAATGTTAAAGGATGTTTTATCCAAGCAGGCATCAAAGGATACCCTAGATTCACCAACATGCATTATTATTGTATATGTAGCTCTGACTTTAGGTTGGCTCTGGTGAGCTTTTACATGCAAAGTGGGAACCTGACTATTTACACAGTTTGATGAACATAACACGATAGTATAGGTTTCTTTGATGTTTGTGAATTGTGACATGATACCCTATTCATGGAGGACTTTTTTTGAGCTTAGGAAATAGTTTACCAAATGGTGATAAAGCAAAAGTTGCATTTTTCAACTCGAGTTATGAAATTTACTCATTATGATGAAGTTTGTAGATATTTTGATGTGCTAGAAACGTTTACACTTGATGCATTGGCTAGAACCACAACATGAGTGCTTAAAACTGCTTCTGAAATGGGAATAGCATGCTTCTTAATTATGTATTTCAATGCATGACTCGTGTAGATATGAGGAAGTAAATGAATATGAAGAAAAGGCCCCATATGCAAAAATAGCTCATCCCTGGCCAGATCACTTCTTCCCATTGCATGTGGCCATGGGAGCTGCTGGTGAAAATGCAAAGGCCAAAGTTGTTCACGATAGTTGGGATGGTGGTTCCATTTCTTATGCTTCTTTCAGCTTTACAGCTACTGACAGTTAATACCACATACTCGTTGCTTCTCCACATTGTTCACTGTTGTCTTAATATATACTGTACAATTCATTCAAATTATAAATACATTGTTATCATCAATAATGACATGTGATGATGTCAACTTCGTGTTTGTTTATTAATATACATATTTACCTTTTTCTTTTTTTACATTCTTTTTAGTTTTGAAATTTAATATTTTTAATAGCAGTATTGATATTTAAATTTATGATTAATTATGCTTTAGTCTCTGTAAAATTAATGGGTTTTACATCCCTATAAATTTTGAAATAACGGTTTTTAGTCCATACAAAAATCAAAATATTTTCTTTGATTTTCATGCTTCCAAATTTTCATATCATCGTTTTAATTTTTTATATTAATTTTAAGATAGATAAATATTCCTATTTTACACATCTTAAAGAGGTTTTTTTCCGTATTACATAGTTACATTATATCAAAACACTAATATGCATAATTTGAATTTTGTTTCAATATATAAGCATTAATGAGTATCATATAATAATAGAAATCAAAAGTAGTGAGCGTTTATTTTGGTACTGTAAATTTGTTTAAATATGTATTTAAGGCTTAAATTTATAAACTCATGTGAGTTATCTATTTTTTAGTGGCCTAGTTGGTGCAGCGTGCCATTCTTTTTAATAGTAGTTAATTTTCTTGGGTGAATAAGATAAGATGCTACCAAAAGCTTTTATGAATGAATAATTTAATCCCTAAAATTATATAGATATCATATTAGGAAGTGAACAAAACTCTAAAAGCTTGAGAAATTTATTTAAGTTTTTCTCAGTTTAGAAAACTGATAAGATAACGAATTTAGTTTTAGAAACTAAATTGGTCACGTATTAAAAGGTCATACGTAAAAAAGAAAATTTTCCTTTGAAAACGTGTTCATCACCACTTTTGTACTGTTTTTCCTATTTCTATTACTGTTTTTGTTTTTTGTTAAATGGACTCAACATAATTCTCTTTAATATTTTCCTTGTCCTTTTTCTTTTCCGTGATTTTTTTTAATTAATTAAATGAGTCAGGTTTGTGTCGAAGTAAGAATGTTGTGGAATAAAAGATTGAAGCTTTGGGACAGAGCATGATGTATCGAAAACAAGAAATGACAAACAAGAATGAAGAGTGAAAGGGCAAAGAGCGGAGAGAAACGAAAATCTTTACATTAGCTCATAAACAACATAATACAAATGCACAAGATTTTACTCCAACAATCTAGTGGAACCTATACAAGACTCCACGAAAAGAAAGTGTAGGCAATAAAGAAAATCATAGTCCACGACTGTATTTCAGCGGCAAAAAAACCTCTTCTGCAGGACTCGAAGGATATTGAGGGTGTCAATGCAGTGAGTTCAACAGACAATGTCATAGACTTATGAGTTTATAACCTAAAATTCTGTGTCAAAGCATGAAACCATGATCTTTGAAACCATGGACCTCGCAAAAGGGATGTAGCTCAAGCTATACCTGCCATTCAAAATATCAGAAGATAGAAGAAATATGTCAGATTATACAGGAGTGGATACCTGTCAATCACAACAGGATAAATCAGATTATACAAATATTGAAACATAGATATCATTAATACTTCAAATAAAAGAAAGTATTTTTAGTTATCCGATGCTATATAAGTTTTTACTAATAACAAGATTCAAATAGTTCAAACTTCAAAGTAAGGATTTAATTCTAATTCACTACCACCACAACTACGTATCAATTATGTGACAACACATACTGATAAGGGATAAAAATTAAATACTTAATTTTGTTCACTTTTAACATTAAGACTCAAGTATATGGTAATCTTTTTTTTTTTAACATTAACTCTCAAGTATATTAGGTGCTAGCTTCATCAGTTAGTTTTTCACTTTTCATGCCTTATATGTGTAGCCTTTAGTAAAGATGTAGTCGCATCAGATAGTGCCACATGAGCCAACTAAAGGCTAGTTGATTCATGAAAACTGTTGCTATTCACACAGTTGAACCATCTTGAAGCCAGTTAGTCAGGTTTTAATGCTAAATGGAGCTGCAACATCCACACATCATAATGTCTGCCTTAAAACCACTCACCGCTGAGATAATCACAAATTGAAGTTTCGGCTGCCAACTATGCTTAGTTCATTTCCAACTCCCATCCTTTTGTCTTATCACTAGGTAGGCACTGTGGCCGAATTTTCCCTTTTGTCTTATTCCTCTCCCACATAGTCCCAATCATGTTACAAAATACTCCGACCCATTTCAACTAAAACATACACATTTACTAAATAAGTTTTTCAGTTTTCATTATCAATTCATGGATACCCTAACTAATTCTACGGCCATTCAAACTTTTTTGCTCCGGCAGTGGACATATAGCCTTTCTCTTTGGGGCATATACATCAGATTTATGGTATGGTAACTTAATGTGTGCACACAGCACACTTCAGGATAAATATTGAACAAATTTACATGGAAGAAATTGGGAAATTTTTGACATACCATATAAGTGCCCCAAACTCCAAAATAATTGCAAGAAGTGTCAGTAACTTGTTATGAACCTGTTTAAATGCAAAATAATGAGATAATGAGCTAGTACAATATAGGATATTTTTCTGCTTAAATAAAAGAAGGAAAGAAAAATACATTTTGACTTACATAAAGAGCACAAAACAAGGCGATTATCATACTTGCAATGTATATGGCTGTTGCATATATACGAACAGGATCAAGCATCATTGTCACTTGCCTCTTAGGACCTATTAGGAATCCTGTGCTGCCATAAAAAGGATTCCCACTTAGCATTTAAAGAAAACAGAACAGTTATGACAAGGAGTTTAGTCATTTCAACTTCAAACTATTTAGTCATTTCTAATTTAAAATACTAAACTTGTAAGAGTAAGATGGAAAATAAAATGTAACTATAAAACAATTTATCAGCAATAGACGTAAAAGAGGGCTATATTTTTATAATAGAGAGAAATCTATGTATGTAATAAATAAAATTTAATCTCAATTTGCATCTATGGGAAATGATCACTTTAATACTAGTAATCTATGACCACCGATCAATTTAGCTACTTACAGCAGAAATTAATGTTCAAATTGTAACAACTTTTACATATACAAGAAAGACATCAGATGCACATAATACTAAGTGTTACACCACCCAGCTAAAAGAAGGAAAACGGAAACTGAAGTCCCGAGTGAGATTATGCAAATCAGTCGTGCTTATTTTCATCTTGATATCTTACATTAAGAAACTAGTTCTATATTGGTTGTTAAAATTTGTTTACTACAAAGTAAGAATTCAAAATATATAACACCTATGTTATCAGAATGAAAAGCTAATATTTGGTGCCTTTCATCCATAAGAAAAGAAACTAAACCGTGAAAATCTTTCTTTTAAGCATTGTGATAGAGACCCAATTATAACAAGATCCTACGTGAGGTGAAAGGAAAGGAAGTGATTAAGGACAAACATGCACAAAAGAGGAGAGATGAAACAGAATATGCACGGGGGATTTCTTTTAATAGACTAGACAAATGGATGCAAGGGTAGAGGAAGAATAAGGAAGGTGTGAAGTTTGTAAAGGGTGTTAAAAGAAGACATAGAATGAGCAGGCAAGAACAGAGAGACTTAGGAGGAAGCTAGGCACCCTAGCAGATTTGGTCTAGTCACAGAAATGCCCCCATTTCTCATTTCACTCTCCGTGATCTATGGGTTAAGTTCCAGTTTCCTGCATTACTTAATGGATTTTACTGATTAATTTTTAGGACTCAAGTCTACAAAGAGAGCCAACAATAGATAGCCCATCAGGTGTGAGAGCCTTGTGGCAAAAGTACTTATTCGAGGTTCATGGGACTAGTGTTGTGTTCAGTGATATTAAAGCGTAAAGAAACATCATTGTCTCCTTCCCCCCACGCCCCCTTTTCCAAAAATAAAAATAAAATGGAAAAACATACTCCATTATTGAGCAATATATTTGAAACCTGTGAATGAAATCCAGTGAACTAGAAACAGTTTAAATATATCCTCGTTCCTAATACATTAAATTGCAGTGTATAAGGAAGTCAACATCATAATGTAATTATACGGCTCAAAAACAGAACATACCTTCCAAGTGAAAGCAAATTACCAAGAGTGAATGCTATTGCAAACTTGATTGGCTTGAAGAAAACAAGCATAGACTGCAATATGGGAGAAGGAAATGCCATTTATTAGTGCTTATTCTTGTCTGCCAATATAAATTTGACTTAAAAAGCTAATATTATTATACATGAAAGTAGAAATAGTAACAGTTGTAAGTCAAGTTTTCAGAAAGGAAGTGAAAAGAACTATATTCCCATCAAATTTACATAAAAAACTATTACAAGATTCATTCATTACCCTCATTTAAATATATAATTTTTCACATCTATTCTATTCTATATCAATTGTTGATTCAAGTAAACGAAGTCCAAAGTACAAGAGTTTCATGCTTATGCTCTATAACTAAAAAGAATAATAAAATCTAATGGTGAAAAAATGTTAACGGCATGGTTGGTTGCCACGTTGCGTTTGTGACTACATTGGTCAAAGGTTACAGTTATACTGGACACAGAAATATTCTCAACACACAGCGGATATAAGCTGCATACCTACGTGAGCCCACACTGGTAGTGTAGGGGCCTAGTATTCTAGGCTGCTTTTTAGTATTGGGTGTGGCCATATTCTAAGAAAGATTCAAGCTTAAGATTAATATTTCACATTGAACTGAAGCACTAGCAAAAAATGCTTCACTTATTCAACAAGAAAAATCATAATGTCAAACTTACCAATAGGGTAAAAGTTAATCCAGTAGCAAAGCATATGGCAAAACCATATAGTCTCTGGTCACAGAGAGAAAGCTTATTAGTTAAACTGTGAAAGACAATTTAAATAGAAACATGTTAGATGAATCAAATGAACATTTCAATATGATAGAAGTTTGGGTAACTAATAAAACATTAAGTGATTGATGCACAAT